ATGTGCTTCTATCATCCCATATATGTTACATTTCAGACCTCTGGCTAGTGAAGGAAATGCAGTTTGTGCCACACTCAGGTGACACTCCTAGTTCACATCTCATGAGCTCTGCCAAAGAGTTGATCCATGTTGGGAGACACCACCTGCAGTTTCAGTCATGCTGTGCACTGACAGTGGGTCGTGGTGGTGTGGTGCAGATGGATGGCTACAAGGGCTTCAGAAATGGCCATGAACTGCCTGTGGAAGGTGTTTTCCACAAGTGGCCATTGTGTGTGAAGGTGTGTTCCAGACATGACCACTCCCTCTTGCATGGGCAGCAGCTGCACAGCCAGGCCATTCACAGGGGTTTATGTGGGGCTCTGCACTTACACCCATGCTCCTGCTGCTCCGGAACTGCCTGTGGAAGGTGTTTTCCACAAGTGGCCATTGTGTGTGAAGGTGTGTTCCAGACATGACCACTTACACCCACGCTCCTGCTGCTCCTTATAAGAATCTTGACTCATTTGATCCTGTCAATATACTTATGTATTCCATTTCCACCCCCTCTCTGTGTCTAGCTGAAAGCAGCAGTAATTTAAGTGTGCCTGATATTACAAGAACATTTGCAGTATAATGTTCACACCACTGTTGTTGATCCTTAGGTGCTGGTTTTTTTTACTATATACTTCCACTCCACTTCCTCCCACTTGTCAGGGGAGGCATATTCATGCAAGTGGGATTGAGAGAGCCCTCTAGTTTAAATATGTAGCGACTGGGGGAGAAAAATCCTCCAAGGGAACTGGTCATATCTTCCACTTGGATTCTGTTATCAGTGGATTTCTTAACACACAAGGTTTTGTTTGTTTGTTTGTTTGGGATTTTTTGGCTAAAAGAGGAAGTGTGATGAGTAGATCCTAATCAGATACAATATGAGAAACCTCAATTAGATGCATTTTCCACGTAATAAAACCAATAAAAAACCCCACTTAGACGCCAGCACCATTATCATGAACAATGAGTCAGTTTCTCCTGCAGTATTTTAAGTGTGTAGCTGTAACTTCAGAATAATTTTCTTCACCAACAAGCATATATCCAGGGCTGTTTGGGATTACTTTGATTATCATACTGTAAGATCAATTCTAAATGTAGGCACTGAAGCCTGAATAATTTATTTTCTAGCCCATTAGAACAATTTGGAGGATCTGATTCTATAGGCAGCTTTTTTGCCAAGAGAGCAAGTGCAAGCCTCTGTGTATCTCTTGGGGAAGAAGAGACAGATAATGTCTGCTTTTAGAGTAAGACACCTGCTGTACTGCTTGACTCTGCACTATAAATTTGTGAGAATTTTGTCTTGAGCAGAATATTCTGCTACTTCCACAGCCAATTGCAAAGTCCAGGGCTTGCAAAGAACCCTTGCTTCTGTCTTTTATTCACAGTTTTGCAGCTCAGGCACAGATGCACCAAACAGCCCTTTCAAGATTTACACTGTCTTTCCTGGAGCAAACATGCAACTCAAATATCCTATGTCTTAGGGCTGGGACAGTATTCCTTCTGGTGTCTCACTGTTTTCATCTTAGAATAAAAAACTTTGCAAAAAAGTACACAACATTTATTGGTAAAAAAGTTAGAGAGAAATGCATTTTTTTCAGATTTTGCCATGAGCTGCCTTGCTTGCAAGAAAGTGGATTATCATAAAAAATTCGGGAAATAATGTGTTAAACATTTCACAAGGGAATTTTAAAAAATGCTATTGTCAGTAGCCTGGCATCTTTGAAAGGAACCTTTTTTTTTCTAATTTAATGTCAACTCTGCACTCACCAAATGGAGTTAATACAGACTCTCATTTGGCTGCCAGCAGATCGGGTTCAAGCTGTAGACTTCTCTCTAATGCTTTTGTCTTAATGGTTTCTCTTTTAACCGTGACTGTTTGTGCAGGAGCCCCCAAATTGTCAAAACTAGCCCTGTTAATGGGTTTGTTTTTTGTTTAATTTCACATATCAGCAAGCCCAGAAAACTGTCAAAACTTTTCATTTCCTCACTATGCTTCTGACATTCTTTGACACAAAAAAAGGTCTGGGTGTTGGGGATGGGGGTAAGGAGAGAAAAAGTGGAGGAGAGGGAACACTGTAAATAACAATTTAAAATGATCTGTGCCTTAGATACCAAGAGGAGCAAGTAAAAACAGACATGCAGCATAGAGCCAACTACAACTGTTTTCTCTTGGCTCTGATCCAGAATAAGTAAATGTGATGCCTCTAATGCCAGGGTCTCAGACTGGGAATTACATCGTAGTTCAGTTCAGAACAGAGAGCAAGCTTTTTGGATGTTCTGAAGCGGAAGACATTTAGCTGTTGTTGGAAAGGCTCCTGTGGCTGTCTTGGTGGGTGTTGACTCTTTAAACATTCCCTTAACCAGGTGCTTGAGTGTTAAAAGGCCACTGGATGGAGACTTCCAGGTGTGCTTTGCTCCTTGGGGAAAAGGGGGGCTTTAAGGAGCAGTTAAGTCTAGAGCTAAGGACAGCCTCTGTTTCCTGGCTGTGCCTGGTGTGACAGCTTAGTAAATTTATTCGGGGACCCTGAGTAAATATTCTGGTATGGAAAAAGGAACAGAGCTGAACAAAGGTGGAGCAGTCTTCAGTAATGTGTGCTGATATTATGAAATCCAGTTTGAGCCGGGTGGTTTAATGTTCAAAGAATTCCTTTGTGCATTTCAAGTTTGGTCAGTCAACCTAAGGAAGAGCTGTGCATTGTCTCTTCAAAAATAGGAATGTAATGAGCTGCTGGAGAGCAGAGTATTTCTGAATCAAGGGCAGTGTAGTGAGATACTCTTGCTGAACAGCTGACCTGAAATATTCATCCCTGATCTAAATGGCTACAGCCCCCGTCATGGCATTTTGCATGAACTGTGTCCTGGTTTTCTGATGTTTCATGCCAATGGTGAATTTCCACTTTTTGCAAACAAGAATGACTTTGGAGTCAGAAGATGCCAAATTCAAACATCCAGGCAACAATGGCTCAAGCATTAAGCCTTGTGCATCAATAAGAATTTAGTGGATGATGGAGGAGCAGGCAAGCAGGTCTTGCTTTTACAGCATCCTCAGTGAGACCCACCTCCTGCCATACAAGTGATGGTTTTAGGTGCTGGTACCACTTAATGCAGTGTAGCAGCAAGGGGAGCATGAAAGGTGATGAAATAAGCTGCCTCTTATTGGTGTTGCTTCAGAACAAAGAACTGAAGAGAAGAGCTAAATGTATTGCAAGGTCATGGCTCTGCTGCTCTTGGGCATCTGCCTTCATTAGGCTTAATTGGGCTGTTTGAGCAATTAAACAATTGCCATGCCTGCAGCTCTGAGGCTGATCTTGAGGCGAACCAAGCTGAAGAGGCAGAAGTGCACTTCTGCTTTCCATCCCATTCCTCATCCAGTTTAGTGCTATTCCTAACTGTATTTCAGCACTCTGACCAGTTTGGTTTTAGCTTAGGTATTGATACATCTCCTTTGGTGCTGTTCTGTTCAGTAGACCTTCAGAGTTTTATTTCCTCTTTAGGGAATTTGTTCCTATATGATTCCATTTTTTTTAACTTGATGATGACTTTCCTTTATATCTTGATGATAGGCCATGATGATAGCTTTTTTTAATATCCCCTCCCTTAGCCTAAATGATTTTCTGTGGGTTACCTTCTCCTAGTATTCTTCCCCCTCCTCTCCCTTGATTGTTCTTTAATAATTTTAGACAATGTTAACAATCATGCTCTGTAAGTGGGAGTAGAGGGGTTTCAGGTATTTTCACTGGAAATTCAGGTATTTCCAGTGTTGCAGGTCAGGGCATGGATTGTCCCTCCATGGCAGTTGTAAGAGGGTACTTGTGAAAGGTTGAATACAGTGATGTGGGGATGCCTGCAATATGCAAAGACTTCTGAATGAGGGGATTTGAGTCCCTGTGTCTTGGGGTTTGCTTTCTCTCAGTGGAGAGGTGCAGCTCAGGTACACTGACGTGAGGTATAGTTTGGTTCCTTAGCTCTGAACAAAACAGACTGGTTTGCAGCTGGGGTGAGGAGTGCTGCCTTAAAACACAGCTGCCTTTATTGCCTGTTATTTGGGGAGGAATTCAGTGGCATTAAGAGACAACCTTAGTAATTAGTATAAGAAATTGCTTTGGCTTTTGTGTTTCTCCTCTGTGTTTCATTTCTGAGGTTTAGCTCTGCCCCAGGATTAGCTCTATCTTTTTCCTTCCCTGGTTCATGAGCTGCCTTATGTTCATCCACTTTATGCAGGTATTTAGTGGATATGCTCCTGCATATGTCTGGCTTACTACTCTATGAACACAATTTCATTCCAAGCCTTTAATTGATTTGGATAATAAAGTGCAATTATAAACTCAATAAAAATTGGCTATTTTAAAGGGAGACCAGGAAAGAAAGAAACCTAAGTGATGCTGTGCTGTGTGACTCAATAATGATGCAAAATCCTCTTTGCCTTACATTCTAAATGCTCTCTTCCTTCCAGGAGAGGCTTGACCTTATACAAGGACTAAGAAGTATAAAGTGTCCTGCTGGGGGGATGTTCTGGCAAAGTTTGTTTATGGCATGTGTCAGGGATGAGAGACAGTGTATAGGGATGGGAAGAATGGGGAATTGAAAATGCTTCAGCCATTCTGGGCAGTTCTCTAAAGTATCTAAATAGGACAGGGATTTTTTTCAATCCCTTCAAGACCTGATCCTTTGGGAATTTATCCTTTACTCAGCATCTGCTTTTTAACTAGAGAGCAAAAGATCTGGTTTGGAGATTCTGTCTTGGATTTAGGAAATCTGTGACTTTTTGAGTATTGCATCTTACTGATGACTTCTCTGTATTTGTTTTTTTACTTTCTCCTTTGTTTCTCCTACTGAAAATGTCATAAGGAGAAATAATTTCTTACTAGATGTGAAAGCTGGTTCGTTCTACTGCCATATTGACATGGTTTTATATCTGGGGTTGCTTGGCTACAATAACTGAGTTTCTTTGTTTCTCTTTGTTTTCCCAGTTGGGAGGCTGTGGAATCCTTGGTGTAGGCATCTGGCTAGCTGTTACCCAAGGGAACTTTGCCACCCTCTCCTCTTCTTTCCCGTCCCTGTCAGCTGCCAACCTGCTGATCGTCACAGGGACGTTTGTCATGATCATTGGCTTCGTGGGCTGCATAGGTGCCATCAAAGAAAACAAGTGCCTCCTGCTGAGTGTGAGTATTGAGCTGCTGCAGTGTTTGCTGTCTTGTGATGCTGGTGCTATTGCAATGCATGCTGCAGTGACCTGCATCTCAGCAGAAGCTGCCCACTTGACACGGATGAGACATGAATGGTGTGTGAAATGGGCTTTGATACTCGCTCCGAGGAGCTGCAGGTCATTCCTGACCACGCTGTCCATGGAGGATGAGACCTGCAGGGGGGGAATTGTTAGTGATGGTGGAGGTTTCCTTGAACTCTTCAGAGAAGAGGAAGGGTTTTGTGGAGACGTCTTTCTTAGTGTATCTTTAAATTCTTTTTCACTCAGGTTTGATAGCAATCCACTCCAAATGTTTGCCCTAGTGGCACTGATTATCTGAAGTCCTGGGCAGAAACATCAATGCAGGCAGGAAACAGGTTGATTTTGGTTTAAATTGACAATTAAGACCTTCAGGTTTGACAATGCTGGTTTTTCCAGCCATTAACTGTCCAAAAGCTTGAGATTTCAGGAAGCAAAGGTGCCAGCACAAGGAGACTGCTGTGAAATCAAAGATTAATAAGGTGCCAGCTGTCCATGATTTCACAGAAGCTTGAGCCACATCCCTGGTGTATTTTATCAAAATGCAATTTGATGCCACTCAAAAGTGAAATTCAGGAGCAGTGAATACCTTCTGTAGTTGGTGTTAGTGTGTATTTTGCATCCTGTTCAGATGAGGAACAGGAAGTGAGGTGATCTTGCTGCTTAAATCTAGGACTTCACCATGGGGTTTGGCAAACCTCAGAGTGGAGAGGAGCTGTGGTTCAGCTGGTCATGTGGTGTTGCCTCTGTAAAAGGCTGTTCCTTATTGTGCTTCACATATTAATTTTTTTCCCTGGCAACTACAGAATGAGTTAAGGCACACAAGCCCCCAAATCTCTTAAGTGACTGAGTCCTCAATAGTGGACTTTTTCCAGGCCCTTGCCTTAATCAGTTGTTTCTGCTGATTTTTAGGCAGAAGTAGTCAGTCTAGGCTAGTAAAGGCTATGTATGTGGCTTGAAACTAAAAGGAACAATATAAATGGAAATTAAGGCAGTTATGTGAGTGCAAATCTAAACTGGGAAGGCTGAAGTCAGTATCTGAAGCTGAAAGTCCTTGACATTTTTAACAGTCCTATAAATACACACTTTGTGGAGGAAGTGTGTGCCCAGACAGATGTAATGGATTACAGCTTCAATGCCAATACAGCAGGAGCCCACAGGGTGCAAAGTCTAATGGTATAGCTTGTATGTGCAAAATTAATCACCTACTTTGTGCTTTCCTGCAAGCCTAGCCTGGGTGTGACAGCAGTGAGCAGTGCCTGCTTGTGTGTCAGGATCAGGTCAGGATCTGGCAGGCAGTCCTCAGTACTGGAAGAGTTTAAGGCTTTTATCTCTTGTGGTTCTTTGTCCTTCACCTGTTCTTTTGGCAAGGGCAGAGACTCCCTTGTTCAGCCATCATTGCCCACGTAGGGTGAATGCTTTCAGCCCCCCCAGCTGGGCATCCATGGGAGATGGAAACACTTGCAGGTACTGCTCCTGCTCACACTGCACAGCTCTCAGAAGAACCCAGTGTCCCTCAGTGCCTGACGTAAGGACTGGACTTGATGGATCCAGTTAAGTAATGCAAAGGAATCCAAATTCATTTAGGAGCTCTCTGCACAGGAGAACGGGAAGCTTGATCTGATTTGGTACCCACATTTCACTCTGTCTGCCTGTCCTTACCTTTCTGTACTGTAGCTATTCAGTGTGGCCTCTATTTTACTCAATTTTCTTCAAAATTGAGTTATGTTAGAGCTGATTATAGCTACTTTAATTCTGAATAAGCTCAACTGTAGAGGGTTGAAATACAATTTCATTAGTCCACATTGAATTCAGTTTTTATTCAGTCTAGAGTAACTTTCCACATTGCATTGCATTGGTACTTTCTCACTGTCAGTAAGTACCAGGGAGATTTTTGAGCTCTTCTGAGTTGTTTTTGTTGTGCCTATGTCTTTGGAAGAGAAATGGATGGTGGTAGCACCTGCTGTTTCTGGGATCATAAGCCTTATCATGCAGATTTGTCCTTAGTCTTCCTTGCCCCAGATTTCTGATTCTATTTCACCTACTTTCAAGTTTAGATCTGGGACATTTGGGTTTGTATTCCTATTTTTCTATGTAACACAGATAGCAAAACAAATTCTTTCATTCAAGAAATTGCTGAATATCAAACCAGGGCTGCTCTTAGGGTGTGTGGTTGCTACATTCCTTCATTTTTTTCTTATTCCACAGGTGTTCCCAACACAGTGTTCTGCCACAATGAAAACTATGTCTTCCCTGAATATCTCTGGGTTTTTAAACAGCCCTGAAAATGCCCTGTCTGCTTTTTAAAGACGATTGTTTTGTTGCAGCTGGCTGGCAATAGGATTTACCATCTAGATTGTAAAGAGAAAGCTCCTAAGTGTTCCCAGCTTTGTGTGTCTGTGACACACACAGTGTTTAACAATTGCTCCTGGATCAAGTCCTTACACTCCTTTCAACATCTCCCTGGCTGCCACTTAACATCTGGCCTTGCTCCTGGTAGTAGCTAAGGTTGCTTTTGGAACTGAATTTATGTCTCCAGAAGGCATTGCCACAAGTGTGACAGCCACTCATGGAGTGAGTTGTCTAGCTTGTGTGTGATGCTGCTGCCGTATCTTCCTGTGAAGCATTTGCTTTAGCTAACTTCTTGTAATGTTTTATTCCATTTGAAAGAGGAGCTTTGAAAGTAGAAATGGAGCAACTGAAGTCTGTTTGCACAGGTGTTTAAGAGGGGAAGATGGAGGCTGTTTGGTTGTGTTGCACTAGTCCCTAGATAATGCATTTGGGTAATTTGCCCTCACCTCCTGATATTTGTGGAGCCCCAGCACTAGAATCCCAGAATGGTTTGAGCTGGAAAGGACCTTAAACATCATCTAATTCCAACTCCTCTGACACCTTTCACTAGACCAGATTTACTCAGAGCACTGAACAAACTTAGGGAACTGGGACAGACAGGAGTTAACAAGGTTTTCAGGCAGTTGTAACAGATATGTTGTGGGCTTAAAAGCATGGAAAAGTTATTAATGGAAATGCAAAGAAAAGGAAAGCAAGAAGTAGAAGCTAGAATGTTGCATACGTTGTGTGTTTCAGCAGTCTCTGTACAACAGTCTGATGAAGTGAGGCTTGGAGTGAACAAAAAAAAGTGAAAGTGGAAAAAACCAAGCTGGGGGAATAGCTAGGGATGTTATCATGGTGGGTTGGCAGATACTTTTGTTATATCCTGCATACGTGAGACCAGGCATCACTCCATTGATCAAAGCATTGCTGTGTATCTCTGAGTGAGTAGCAGTTTTCACTAACCTCCCCTTTTCCTTGGCTCCACACAGCCTGGGATATTAAGTATGACCACAGACGGTAGTAAAGATGATGGGAATGCTTTGCTTGTACTGTATTCCTGTTGCAACCTACTCTGAAATCACATCCTTACGATCTCCTTGAAGACACTTGTGGCATTTTAAACCCACAAACTTCATGGTCATGCCTGGTTTAACCAAGAGTAATTTGGACCTCAGCTTACTCATATATCCATATATATATAGTGCACCTCCTAATTTGGACCTCAGCTTACTCATATATCCCATAGTGCACCTCATCCTCATGTAGGGTTGTTGGGAGTCTGATTTGCAAGGACTGGAAAGACAAATTTCCCATACAGCAGGAGCACTTCTTGCTCTGCTTCCTAAAAGCAGAGGAAGGAGGAAAGCCTGTGGTAGTTACTAGCTGAGGGCACATGCTGCTGTTATTGGGATGTGCAGTTTGGAGGAAGACATTTGAGATACTGCAGGAGGCATGGAGCACTCTGGGGATCCTAAAATGAGTTGGGGGGAAGCTCAGCCCACCTGCATTGGAGGAGCAGAAGTTTATGTGATGGTAGACACAGGATATTTGTGGAAGGTGTTGCCTTAGGAGTAGTGCTACTGTTTGATGATGTAACAAGGGATGAGATTTCCCACAGAGTTTGATTGAGTGAATGAAAAGTGAGCAGTATCATAGAGACATTTCAGCCTGTTTACATTTCATACACTTAAGATGCAGAGCAGATGAGACTCTGATCATGTATCTTTGTGTTCTGCACGTATGGCATTTGTATTGGTTTGTCAGAGCACACCTGTAAGCTCGTTGGTATTAGGCTGCTGTGGTGTTAGATGTGAATGTTAGTAATTACTTAATTCTGGCATTTGCCAATGACTTTTGAAAGAAGGGAGAACAGACCAAGTGGTTTGAGAAGTAGAGGACAAGTGGGAAAAGGAGATCAAAAGCAGAAGTAAATTTCAGTTTGTAAATGAGATTTTAGCACAGCTGTGTGCAGTATTCTGGAGGATCCACATTAAGTCTCTGAATTGAGAGTTTAGATAGTCTAAAGCTTCAAGATTTACTGACTAGAAAGGAATTACCTGGTGTTCACTGCAGATATGAAATTTCAGTTTGTAAATGAGATTTTAGCACAGCTGTGTGCAGTATTCTGGAGGACCCACATTAAGGCTCTGAATTGAGTTTAGGTAGTCTAAAGCTTCAAGATTTACTAACTTGAAAGGAATTACCTGGTGTCCACTGCAGATATTCTTTACCTAGTAGCAATGTATAGTCAGGAAAATGTAAAGTCAGTGCTTCCTTAGTCTCTTAAGAAACAGGCCTATTCCTATTTCTCTGCATTCAGAGGAATAGAATAATATGAAAATCTAAGAGTGTAAAGAAAAAAAAATAAAAGGGAACATCAACCATTCTATGCATTCTGCAAAAATACATAGATAAGGGTGAGTTTTACAGCTGTCATTCTAAGATGTCAGTGAACAAAGAATGGGTATTTGCACTGATTCTTATTTGCTCCAGCTACAATATGAAAGAAGAGAAACTTTTCCATTATTAGATTTCCCTAGGGAAATCAAAGCAACAGGCATTCTTGAGATAAGTATGCAACCTGGTATATATAATCTTACATCT